TAAATTTTCAGATGAATAATCATCATGAATTTTTTTAATAATTCTAATTTAAGAATGAACGATTGTCCACGAATTAACATCGTGCAATGTACTTATACGAGCAGGTGTGTACGTATATGAGACAGAGTGCACTCGTGTCTATGCTCGTGAAAAGAATCGACGAGAATGCGACTCCGATAAAAGGAACGGTCTGAGTGGGCTTTGAACAGGCCTTGAAGAGAACTTTCGACTCCTAAGCCCGAGTCGGTCACTCGGAAGATATCGTCCCGGAATCGGCTACGTTTCCCGTGGGTTTATCGGCCGTGGCAAGAGAAAGAGCCGCTTATTGGGTAATCCTACTGCTCGCGAGCCTTATAATCCTATCGCAGGAAAAATACATGAATATCTCTATTCTCCGTTTCCCTCGCTTGAAAACACGTTGAGAATATCAGATCAGAATGACACGACACAGGTTCTTAATTCGTATCGACGATCAAAAATCCCCTCGTAAAAATTGTTTCAATCGTCCAATTTTGAAAACCATTACAGATTTTTCTAAACAGTGAAATCTTTTTGATATTTCTGTTCTTATATTTCGCGCGAGTTCTCTCGAGTTTTCTGTTGCTAAAGAGGTTGTTTAGAGTTGCTCGCCGGTCGCAAGGGATTAGGGCGAAAATTGATTCACTAGCACATGGACACCCAGCAAAAGTTCTACAGGTCGTTTCGAGGCATTGTTACACGGTTGCACTCTTGCCGTTTCGAGAACCATCCGGGAGCTCGTTCATTTGTTCCCCGAATATGTAGCGCCCTCGCAAATTGTCCAACTTTCACCCCCAAAAAGACCATTTTACAGATTAATTGCTCCTCCCCTCGCGAATCATTAAACGAACAGACGTTTCACTAAGTCGGACTTTATGAAACTTCGATACCTTATATAATATAAATTCTCTCTCATTTCTAAATTAACCCTTTGCACTCGAGCGGTGACTCTCGCTCACCAAGACGTTATCTCACCTTAAATTTTATTGTGGCGCTTTTAGCGAGACAGGCGACGCGTGTATAAGACCTTATAAGTGTAAGATGATACTCCTTTAAATGGAGATAAGTTTTTCGTATCGGAACCTTAGTCTGTAACGACAACCGTGCATCACTTTCGACATTAGTTCGAACTTGACAGTCGCGCCGAAAGNCTGTTCGGACAAAGCCAGTCGAGCGGAAATCTCCCAAGCGATCGGACGCACATAAGTGACGAGAATAAATCTCCTTGTAAAATTATTAACATTAATTATTTTGTCACCTATTCCCACAGCTTCTTTGATCATTAGAAGGTCTTTATCATTTCGTATACGTCATCGTATTTTATCGTTTAAACGCATCTCTCTTTATTTTATCTTACGTCCATTACTTTTACTGTATTCTTTCTATGTATGTTATAATGACCTATTCCCGTGAAATAAAGTATTATTATTATCACCTCGAGGCTAGTATTGGGGAAGAATTTCTAAATACAAGATTATGAATTCATAACTATCGATCACGGGTTATAATCCCGTACGAGGCAATTAGGACACCGGTTACTTTATCGTAATTACAATCTGGACTAACCTACGCTCGGCTTATCTCGGCTTAGCATCCACTTTTCATTCGAAGAGGCAAATCGTGCCACACGGAAGGCATTAGCCACCGTGAATTATTATTGTCAACGAGCGAGGCGAGCCGCGATTATTGTCGGGACAGTTTCCACGAATTCGACGCCGAGGCTCGTTTGACAATCGTTAATTCGCGTCTCTCTCATTACGCTGCTGCTGAACATTATAACAAATGTTTTCGCATCTTCTGTTACAACGACGGTCGACCTCGGCCCGCGATATAAAAATCTAATTCCCAAATGGACGCGTGAACGAGTATCACGTTTCTGATTTCTCTCTAAAATTAAGGAAGTTGGGTAGATCACTCGCGGGGCAGAAGGTGAGAGGGGTAGTCATATGCTTATACAT